CTCGACTTCTTAATTTGAAGCTGCTCATGGAACACTTGGTGGGGTGATAGGGGTGCAAGTATCACATTTCGATCATCCTTGATGAAGCTGTATCGGTTTAGATATCCATCATAGGTAGGTCTCCGATCAAATTGCCATGGCCTTCCCAACAACAAATGACTAGCATGCATAGGCACGACATCACACATAACTTCATCAGAGTATCGCCCAATAGAAAATGAGACTAATACCTGTCTGGTTACTTTCAAGTCACCACTTTCATTCAACCACTGAAGTCGGTATGGCCTCGGATGATTTTTGGTGCGCAAACCAAGCTTTTCCACCATCAAAGAACTAGCCACATTCACACAACTTCCTCCATCTATAATCAATCCACATACCCGATCTTTCACATGATATCGAGTATAAAAGATTTTCTCCCTTTGTAGTTCATCCCTATCATCGTTAGCTTGCACATGTAAAGCTCTCAAAACAATAAGGGCTTGCCCCGTGACAGCATGTTCTACCTCATCAACATCTTCAAGTGATGGCATGGAGTCGTTGTCTTCTTCTCTAAATATGTTTCGACTCACTCTAAATATGTTTCGACGCACTGTAAACATGTTTGGATGCACTCTGAATATGTTTCGATGCACTCTAAACATGTTTCGTCGAACTCTAAACATGTTTCGACGCACACTAAACATGTTTTGACGCACTCTAAACATGCTTCGATGCCCTCTAAATATGTTTCGACGCACTCTAAAGATGTTTCGACGTACTCTAAACACTTTTGGATGCACTCTAAACGTGTTTGGACGCACTCTAAACATGTTTAGACGAACTCTTACATGTTTCGACGCACTCTAAATATGTTTCGACGTACTCTAAAGGTGTTTCGAAGCACTCTAAACATGTTTGGATGCACTCTAAACATGTTTGGACGCACTCTAAAAATGTTTCGACGCACTCTAAAAATGTTTCGATGCACTCTAAACATGTTTGGATGCACTCTAAGTATGTTTCGATGCTCTTAACGTGTTTTGGTGCACTCTAAACATATTTAGACGAACTCTAAACATGTTTCGACGCACTCTCAATATATTTTATCGCACTCTAAAAATGTTTTAATACACTCTAAACATGTTTGGATGCACACTAAGTATGATTGGATTCATTCTAAAAATGTTTCAATACACTCTAAAAATGTTTCGATGCACTCTAAACATGTTTGGATGCACTCTAAGTATGTTTCAACACACTCTAAACATGTTTGGATGCACTCTAAATGTGTTTGGACGCACTCTGAACGTGTTTTGACGCACTCTAAACTGTTTAGACGAACTCTAAATATGTTTCGACGCACTCTAAATATGTTTCGACGCACTCTAAATTTGTTTAAATACACTCTAAACATGTTTCGACGCATTCTAAAAATGTTTCGAGACACTCTAAAAATGTTTCGATTCACTCTAAACATATTTCAATGCTCTGTAAGTATATTTCGACGCACTCTAAACATGTTTGGATGTATAAGTATGTCTAGACGCATTCTAAATATGTTTGGATGCACTCTAAGTATGTTTCGATGCACTCTAACCGTGTTTTGACGAACTCTAAAAATATTTCGAGTGCGTCCAAACGCACTCTAAACATGTTTGGACACACTCTTAATGTGTTTAAATGCACTCTACACATGTTTGGACGCACTCTAAACATGTTTAGACAAACTCTAAACATGTTTCGA